AATAATGAAAACTCGTTCTCCAGATGATTAAATACTAATCGGGTCGAAGAGCAGCATATATAGTTATCGGTTTACAATTATTATTAGATCTATTAATGTGTACCGATAGTTTTAGCCCAGATTTCTCGATCATGGGAGTTCGTAGATGTACATTTCAAGAGTGAACGTAATATATAGATTTGAGGGTATTATAATATGTTATATACTGCTATGCAGCCACAGTTCAAGTCGGTCTGTATATAGGTACCGCGTGCGTTGTGTCTAAATAGATTGTCGAGCCGTTAATGACGTTTTAAACAAAGTGTGATTATATAGTTTAAGCTCACGATAAATGGATGTGTATTATATATTATGTTGGATGGAGGTGGAGTGTTGTGTTCAGCTTAATACGAACACACGCACGTCGTTGAATAGGATCACCACGTCCAGCTGCATTGAATACCTCGTATATATATATATACAGCTACTTTAGACTAATATTATATTATTATAAGTGGAGATCGTTTGTTTTTAAGAATGTAAATTAATTTCGAATACACGAAATGACAGTGTTTCGTAAAAGGAATAAATTATCGAAAATTAACACGCGTACGCTGCACCTATTATAGTAATATACATATGCGTATACTATTATTATATTATGATTTTCGTTTTTTTTTTACGGAGTGAGAATAATAAAGCTGATATTTTTTTTTCATAATAAAACTAAACTATTTCGGACATCGTAATAAATTGAAATTAATATTTTTTCGTAGCAAACGGTAATTAGAGTTCGGTGTAATTGATGAGTGTGAATTTTTTATTTGATTATTTGCTTTACACTATTATTATTATTATCATTTTTTGAATAACTTACATTATAAGTAATATACCTATTATATTATATATACGTAATATATTATGATATACACCTACTCATTAATTACGCCGGCCGAAATACTGTAATTATAATCTTTACTTTTGACGTTCTAGGGAAGCATTACACGTCATATGTATAGGTATAAGGAAAAAAAGTTGGTTATTATTTGAATTAAAATAAACCAGATTGTTGGAGGAATTCCAAAGAAGGCTCAAATCCGAGCGGTTAGTCATACTTTAGATGCGTGTTGATAACATTTTATGAAAAATTACATGTATTTAACCCGGCTGTTAAAAAATATAAATAAGTCTATCACGTCGTCGTGATAGTATTAAAGTAGTAGTAGTTGCCCTCGTTATCTCGACATCGGTATAATATTAATATTGCGGGCATGTGTGTCTATAAAATGTTACTTTTGAGGACCTAAGCGAACAGATGTTCCGACGACCGCGATTGAGCGGTTATAGGTACCTAACCTACCTATTATAGGTAATAATAACATCAATAATTATTAACCGTATAGATTTTCGTATTAATTTATGGTATAATATTATTTTGATAGAATAATAAAAAAAAAAAATGATAAATTATTATTATTATTTTCAATCCGTCAATAAATATTGTAATATTAAGTCGGGGCGGTGAGAAGAAGACGTGTCGGACAATATGCGGCGGCCAGTTGATAACGTCTATTATTTCTATTATTATTATTATTAATTTCGTCTGTCGGTGTGATCTCTGGGACTCGATTTAACGTCACGACGACTTTTCTGAACTGCGTGGGTGATTGGAAAATATTATAGTCAAGCGATGATGATGTGCTCGTACGTGTAAAAAGAAGAACGAAATGAGACAATGACGTGTGCCTATTATTATATTATCGTATATTATTATTGTATAAGTCGTCGTGTACAACACTAGAAAAGTCACGCGTATATCAAACAGACGAGACAACTACCTCTACTACAGTCTCGTCAAAAGTTTTGTTTGTTCTTCGCGTCGTCGGAAAAGTTTCGAATCAATTTCTATCGGAATCTTTGTATTTTTTCCGTTCGTAAGACGACGAAAAGAAATCAATTTTTCACGATACATAATATAATACAGTTTTCGTACACTTATATAGGTTAACCTATATATATATATATATAATACGTATAGCTTGAAAAAACAGTATGCAAGTATTTTTTTCAAAAACGACAAGTAAAACAACAATTATTTTCATTATTTTATTTGCAGCCGCGTTTGCAGTGATAATAAGTAATAACTTCAGCATCGTCGACTTTTAGAAATTTAAGAAAATCTCTAGACATTGCGCACCTAATTTAAAATAATGACGTGCTTACACAACGAATACGTATATATTGTGATGTATAATGGACGGGAGAATTCTTAATAAACACCATAGGGTGATAAAAATCATTGTTGGCGAACGCAAACGAATAGAATTACGCTCACCGTCGAGAAATTCATTTAACGCTTATATAACGTAATGTGTATATGTACAGTGGCGTGGTGAATGGGGTTTTATGACGCCTAGGCGTCATGGTGAATTTTTTTTTTTTGGGGTGGGGTGGTTGGGTACATTATGGTAACCAATAACATACAACAAAAATTAAAATATTTACAGTTCCATAATAATTATATGTATTATATATTATATTAAGGGGATAAAGAAGGGGTAGGTACTGAAATATATGCTGGGCATCAAGGTTTATAAATGTTCACCACGCCACTGTATATGTATGTATATTGTATGTATTTATATGTAGTATCTATGTATACACGTTACACGCTGGTACCTAAATCTGGTATGTATATACACATTTTTTTCAGAGGCCAGTGAACTCGTTACGGTATTTAAGGGTTGCGCCGAGGAAACGACATGACCGAAAGAAAACACGTTTTAACCCTCATATTGTCGTTGTCATACCAAAGTAAAGTATGACCGGATGCTTTCCCGTCGCAAGCCCACCGGGCTTAGGTACTGCAGTTTGAAATCTTTCCTTTATTTATTTTTTCCCCCATGCTTTTACTCGGTCTACTGGTCCCGGACCCCACGGATGACCCAACTATATGGCCTGATTATGCTCGAATATATATTTTTATGTTACATAAGTATGGGTATATAATATATATATATATGTGTTTTATGTTATAAATCACGTAAATGTAGAAGTGCTTTTACATATTATTGTGCATCGTCTTATATACGAGTAATACCTATACTAATATTATGCAAATTCAATAAAAATAATAATAATAACAACTACACCTTCCTACGCTATATTTACATTCGACTTATTGATTTTATAATACCTAACGTATAATATTATAATGAAGTTTAATAAAATGTACGATTGTACCTATTAGGTATATCACATAAATAATATTCAATACTGTCAAGCTATAACTAATTATAAATAATTTATCGTTCAATAAATTATAATTGAATAATGATACACATTCCATAATCGTGTTCCTATACTATAATATCACATTCTCGTCAGAGAGATTTCCTTTCTATATGTATACTATTTAAATATCTGTTGACCGTTTTCCCATTCGAACCTTACCAATAGAAAAACTCGTATGTATAGGTGTATAAATATTAGTGCTGGACATCAAATCCGGATAAATCCGTATCCGGATTACCAATCCGGATCAATCCGGTTTGAAACAACCGTCATTAATCTGTTTATCCGGATTAAAAATTATCAATCCGGATTATATAACCAATCCGGATTTTGATATGAATCCGAATTAGATAATTCAATCCGGATTCTGGTTTAAAAATAAAAATTCCTTTTTCTTATAAAAGAGAAGATAATTATTGAGTAAATCTATTAGTATAACCAGATGACGGGAATTCCGTTATTTTTAAATTATTAATTCAGCTTTATAAATTAAACTTGTTACTCGGACTTACCGATTCAATCCGTAAATCCGGAGAACGGATTGAATTCGTTAATCCGAAAAACGGATTGAATCCGCGAATCCGGTTAAAACGGATTGAATCCGCGAATCCGGTTAAAACGGATTGAATCCGCCAATCCGGATTCTGTATTTCAATCCGTGATCCGGATTAGGCAAGCCAATGTCCAGCACTAATAAATATACTTCGGTCCATATTACACATGTACAAGTATAATATAATATAGTGGATTATACATATAAGTTATATAAACACTGAGTGTGTCTGAGTGTCTAATCAAAATTTAAAAAAATGAAGTGTATCATCTAGTTAGGTAGGTAGGTAGGTATGTAATTTAAAACCACAATAATTATCAATGCGCAACGAATTTCTGAAAACCCATTCGAGAGTAAAAACGTATATTACGTATATGTGTCATAACTCATTATAACGATATATTGTTATACCGGAAATATTAGAAAATATTTAATAATTTTACCCGTGCACATCCGCACAACCGTCGTTATAGCTGTTTTATAGCGTACGCGTTTTTCACCAAATCTGTTCGGCCTGGCAGAAGGAAGAAAATAACAACTAACGGCGGGTTCGTGTTCTGGCGAATATATTTGGTTCGCAATAAATCCACCACCACTACGCACACACCTGTGTAGTGCAGTGTGTCTGGCACTTGACGGCCGGTCCAACACGCCGTCGACGCGACTGGTTCATTATATAACAATTATTATCATATATACGTATAACTAAATAATTTATATAGATATATATGAGACTAGTTGTCTGCGGGGTGCGCCCAACGCGCGATTTATGCTAAGTCCGACGTTTTCATTTGCCGCGGCTGCTGCGGCGGTAGCCTTTACGGCCGTGGGCGTACTGGACGGTTGCCAACAAATCGCCGGTCGGAATCCGCCTTTTTCGGATATCCGTTGACCGATGATTAATGTGTGTGTACACCGGACACGTCGGTTTTCCGTGAAAACAATCGGCAAAGACCACTACATATTATTGTATTACTCGGCATAATCGCTTATATATATATACCTATAGGTGTATTATATTATATTATAACACCCTACAATAAAATACTACTACTAACTATTATTATTATTATATTCATACAGCTGCAGCCTTTGGAATTCTCTGAATATCCTCTCGCCATACCGAGTCAAAACAGCGGTTGTGTCCTACATATTATTATGTCTATATGTGACGATGATTGTCGTGCCAACCGAGTTGTATCGGACCCGGACATTTCGCCGCCACCGTTTCGCCGCCGGACATTTCGCCGCCACCGATTCGCCGCCGGACGTTTCGCCGCCGACCGATTCGCCGCCGGACGTTTCGCCGCCGGACATTTCGCCACCACCGTTTCGCCGCCGGACATTTCGCCGCCACCGTTTCGCCGCCACCGATTCGCCGCCACCGTTTCGCCGCCAGACCAAAATTCCGACCAACCCTTCGAATTTTGAAAATATATTCACATTTTGTTTATTATAGCAATTTTATTGCATTTTTAATCATATTAAGCAATTACTTATTTATGTGTAGTGTACCTAAATCAAGTTTTAAAAACGAAAGGGGTATATGTCGTAAATTAGTAAAGATAAAATATCTATATTCTATGCTTTTATATTAATATATTATACTATATCCTTTTATCTTATTAAATAATTTATTTCGTTGATTATAGTAAGTCGAATAGTGTGTGGGAGGATCTATATATTCAGGCTTCTATATAGTGGTTGCAATAAAATATTACGTGTAGGTACAATTTGATTTAAGATGCAAGGTCTAGATTAATAATCAATATTCTGACTTCAGGGGCGGATTCAGGGGGGGGCTATGGGTGCTCGGGCATCCCCTGTCACTCTATAAGTCCAAGGCACTCCAAGTCACTAATAAAAAACATTTGTATTCAAAATTTTAAAATAGAAAGGTGTACCTAACCATTTTTTTTTTAGATTCTGTTTTTTATAAATTTTTAAATTTTTTTTTTGTTTCTATCATCACCGTGTTTGAGGAAGTACAATTAATTCGATTTTTTTCAATAGTACCTATCTCGATTGATGGGAAAGTGAATATATTTGGTTCATTCAGAAGGTCAAAATTTAAAATTCCAATAGTTTTAAAAGCGCCTAGAATAACTAAATAAAAACTAAGGAAAAATGGGAATTTATAAGCAATATCAGTTTTCAACAAAATCGATTTTGGTTTTTGGTGTAACTCTAAAAAAAATAATCATAGATACATGCAATTTTCACTGAATGTTTATATTAGCATTAATTTCTATACACGATAAAATTCACACGATTAAAATATTTTGACTTGTTTTGAGTTGTTTACGGACATAATGAATTTTCAGTTGTTTTAGTTTTTTTTCTATGATTGCCAATAGAATTTTAAATGTTGGGTAAAAGAGCTTGAAAATTTAATACAAGGCTCTTCATATACTGTTACAATGACATTTGAAAAATATTAAATATACAGTCACAATTTTTTCTTAGAAGCATTTAAAGTTCAATTTTGACAAAATACGTAAAAATCACGAAAATTTGCAATTATTTTTGAGTTAGAAATACATAAAAATTTTATTTTTAAATCTAACATTTGAAAATTTAATACAAGATTACTCATAAGTTTATCTACCTTTATCAATAAAAAAATCTCTACCGGAAAGTCAAATTAAATTTTTATGAGCGTTTGAAATTCAAATTTTTACAACATTGATATTCACTCGATTTCTCATGTAGCGATTTCCTTATTTTGTTATGTAATCAATAATGAATAACTATAGATACATGAAAATTTCACTGAATATTAGCATTTCCTATACACCATACAATTTTGAAAATATTTTGACTTTTTTGAGCTGTGTACGGACATTTACAGTTTTCAATTTTTTTGGGTTTTTTTTTCTATAAATATCAATAAAGTTTTATCTGTTGGGCCAAAAAGTGTAAAAATTTAATACAAGGCTCCTGATATATTGTTACAATAGAAGTTGAAAAATATTAAAAATACATAGGCACAGTTTTTTTTTATAAGGTTTTAAAGATCGAATTTTGACAAAATTTATCAAAATTGAATAATTATTTTGTAGTTAAAAATTTATAAAATGTTCAACTTTTATATCTAAGGGTTGAAAATTTAAAACAAGATTCCACATAAGTAGTTAATTCTGTTACCAAAAAATCAAAAAAATACATAAGCACCTAATGGATATTGTGATATGATTAATTTGGAATTTATTATAGGTACCTATTATAGGTCAATTTTTTTAAATACGATAGATAAGTACCTATATAATATGTCTTATACCTAGACTGACACTGTCTCCGTTCAGAATCGTTTTTCTTATACCATGATATTATATCATTGAATTCATATTTAATACCATCCATTATACAGTGACCCACTTGTAACCTACTGTACAGCAGAGCACCTTTTTTGTTTGTTTGAATACCCCCTGTTAAAATTTTCTGGATCCGCGCCGGACAAGTCATACACTCATACAGCTAAGCGCAAATGATTTTAGTATTCTACTATTATATAGGTATACCGTATACCTATAGGCTATACTATTCTACACACATATACAAAATCCTAAAATATAGGCTATATAATAGAATATATTAGATTCTGAGCGGAGAGATATAAATATATTGATTTTACAATGATGTGTATTTTCAACAGCGCCAGAAAAAAACAATTAAAAAATTAAGTCAAAACAGGAATTATACGCAAAATCGATTTTGATTTTTGGTGTAACTCTAAAACAAATTAGGTACCGTAGAAATTTTCACTTTATGTTTATATTAACATTGTCTATACATGATAAATTTTCAAAATATTTTTTATTGATTTCAGCTAATAACGTTCATATTCAGTTTCCAATATTTTTATTTATTTTTTTCTATAAACGAATATAAAATTGTATTTGTTGGGTCAAAAAGCTTAAAAAATTAATAAAAGGCTCCTAATATATTGTTACAAAAACATATGAAAAATATTAAAAATACATATGCACAATTTTCTTTATTAGCATTTAAAGTTCAATTGTTGACAAAATGTAGGTATCATATTTAAAATTTAAAAATGTATAAAATGTTCAACTTTTATAGCTAATGATTTAAAATTTAAAATAAGGTTCCACATAAATGGACGTTAATACGTTATATATAAATTACTTTATTCGGAATATCATCAAATATACTTATAGTTACTTAACTGGAATATCATAGACTGATACATTGTTTTTCTTATATCAATGATAATATAATATCATTAATACCTCATTACTTATTAGTAGGGTTCGGATTTGAAGGCAAATGCCTTTCTTTTATTAATCATAATAGAAAAATAATTTTTATACAAAAATGTGTTTCATTTAATTTCTTAGAGAATGGATCTTTTTTTTTTTTGCCTTTTTCTTTGCCTTTTTACTTATAAATGCCTTTTTTTTACCTTTTGTTTATTTTGCATTAAATTAACTGATATAACTCAAGTAAGTTAATATTTAAAATTGTTTTTAACTAATTCTTAGGACAAACCTGGTTAAAGAAAAAGGTACCTAATCTATTTATACAAAATAGCATAAACTTAATGTAGTTTAGTATTCATGCTCATTTTTAATTTGTATTTTTCTCAAAAATGTGTGCATTTAAAAGTGTTTAAAAAATGTTCACTATTTTATTTTGTAGTATATTTATGAATTGCCTTTTTATATAAATTAAATGCCTTTTTTTGCCTTTTTTTACATTTTAAATGCTTTTTTTTATTGATTATATTGCCTTCAAATCCGAACCCTACTTACTAGGTAGTTATTTGCTCAATAACTTATGGTTTAAAGGCAAGGCCGGCGGAAATGGGGGTATGGTGGGTTGGCACCCCCCCCCCCCCCCCTTTAAATTTTACGTAACTATCAGTCGGCATTTTCTTAATAACAGAGAGCTGACAGAAATTATACGACTTGTTATACAAACTGTTTTCCTAGATTTTCTTAGGTTATAATTTTAATAATAAAAACGATAACGGGCCCTTGGCAGTCAGTAGTATGTTGATTTCTAAATCGTTAATTACAGTGGATGACACTGTTAATAGTTTACTACGTTATAAAAAAATTTAAATATATAAGTGGATATTTATTATTTATAATCAATGACTATTGACTCCACAATAGTGTTAGTATACAAATAAGGAGAAGTAGAATTCCTTGTATTTCAACTATACGCACTTGACAATTTAAGAGTTTACTGATTTAGAAATCAAAATACTGCTGATTGCTATACGCCTATACGTATACCTATAATACCTATAATAATTTTTTTAGTACCGTCGTACTATCCAGACAATCCTGTACCTGTACAGCTAGTGGCTGTATGATATACAAGTAACAATTGTTACTTAGTAATATAACATACTATAGCATAGAACTATTCAAAATGTTTTAATTCAATTTTTTAAAAAAAATTTTTATTATGTTTTTTTGTATAATATTTATCAAATTTAACCTATTATATAAATTTCAACCCATTATATAGAAAAACCAGGAATTTTTATAGGTACTTCACATAGTTTGTTTTAAGAAATTACGGGTTGACATTTTTACAGTCGGCATAAATTATATTTCAGTCGGAAAATACTTGATCTCACCCCCCCGTGAAAATCGTATAACGCCGGCCCTGTTTAAAGGTATAAAATATATAATTAATAAGTTATATATTTATGTGTTATGTCTTAAACTGTTGTATAGGGCTCAGCCCGTTAATAAATAAATATTTAATTAGTTAGGTACTTAGGTACCTAATATGTAAATATTAAAAATACCGTTCAATTAAACATCAAATCAATCACATTTATAGATTGTTACATAATTATACATTTATATAATTTATTTATGAGCATATATTATAATATATTAATTATAGGCACCTAATACCTACTTATATAATTTATTAATACAACAGTATGATATGATACTGCTTCACTGCGATGAGTTATGCATTATAAATGTGGCTTGTTACTGTTTAAATTGCTTGTCCTGTAATGTAAACATCTATGATTTTTACTGACTATACGTTCCAATTACTATTTTTTTTCAAAATGGTAGGTATACTATAATGTGCCCAGGATGATAACAAGGCATTTTTGATGTCGGCAGATCGAAGCATTCTGATTTAAACTAAGCATAAACAGACTGACAGAATTAATTATAAATATAGGTAACTAAGTAGGTAGTAAGTACCTACATAGTTATTCACTGTACACAATTATTATACATGTGTATTCAAAACTAATTTTGTATCACAAACCTTTATTTATAAAAAAACTTTTATGTTAAGTATATAATCTTTTTACACCTATGAATGTTATTTATTTTATGAACCTACCTATCTAAGTCAAAAATATAATTCTTTTCCATCAAACCTATTCCTTTATATATAGTGTTTACTATATGAATATATTAGTCTACCACTAGACGACTGAACAATATAATA